TGAAATCTAAGCAGTAGCTGCAGTCAGCAGTGTGTTAGGCCTTCATGTGAGTTACGGTCGTCCTCCATGTTTTATCTCCCCAGACGTCGTCCAGAGGTTCCATTCAGTCTAAAAGTGTCCGAGCTGTTTCCACGTGATGTTTCCTTCCACTCCGTCACCGTTCACACGTTGCTGATGCGAACACTGAGGGGAGTGTCTCTCGCCCGGCCTCGTTCCCCCCCTCTGTCCCGGTAGTTCTGCTCCAGACGGATCTTCTCTGGATCGGACACATCTGGCACGGGCCCGGCCCCGTTGCTCTGGTACGCGCGCTGCGCGCTGCACGGTTTGAAGACGGCCGCCGTCTTGGTCTTGGCCACTTTGTCGAAGAAACCGAAGTCCGCCACGTACTTCCCCGATGGGGAGAGGGAGACCACGGGGGGGGAACTCGTAGCCCCAGAGGATCTCATCCGACAGAAACTATCAGTGAAATGTTTACAGACTCACCTTGAACTGTGACCTTGTATTCAGTCAGTAGTTTGTCTCCTTGAAGTGTTCCTGCTTCAGCAGAATAAACTCCACTGTCGACCTCTTGTACATTCTTCAATATCACAGAGAATTTATTCTCAGGAAACTCAAACCCTCCAGTGGAATTACGAAGGACATTTGGCAATAAAGTCTATGATAAATAAATAAACAAATAAATAGACGTGACTCTCTAGGTCGTCTTAGACAAAACCACATTACTCCACCTGTTGTTCTGGAGGTGAATTGCTCTGCAACACACGCAAGACTTTTAGATCATGCATTCATGAATTGAAACGAATGCGTCGACGCAACGACGCAGAAGAATGCGCCGGCCTTAAGGTGTGTTTTGTTAAAGGGGCAGAGGGTTCATTGTTATCATGAAGTCGACTCCTCTTTCTTACCAGTACTTGGGTAGCAATGTTGTTCAGCAGTATTGAAGTGGTGGGTCCTGTGAACCTGGTTGTTATGGTTACAGATGATCACGTTGTTCGACAGGTAGACCTGGAAAGAAGCCCCAGAGGTCGTGACCTCTGATCGCTCTCCTCCCTCCTGACTGCAGACCCGGTTGACACATCTGAAAGTGCTGCTGTTTTTTTGTTAGTTTTCGTTAACGATAATAACCTTGGTCTC